GGGGCAGGCACCCCTGCCGGCCCCTGCGCGCCGTGCTCCGGGCGGTGGTCCCTTCCTTCCCTCCTCTGCCCCGGCTTCCAGGCCCGCCGTTCGCTCCCCTTAGGATCCAGCTCTGGGCCGGAGAAGCCTCGCCGTGCGCCAGGCCCCGGGCCCAGCCCTGAGCAGCCCCATTCCCTCGGCTGGGCACAGCTCTCCACCAAGACAGGGCGTCTGTTTCCGACCCGCAAGGTCAGGCAGAGGTCACTCTCTAGAGCCTGGATGGATGCTGAAAGCCACTGCGCTCCTCCAGGCCGCAGCCCCTCTTCGGGGAGTCCCCGACCTCCTCTGGCGCGGGCTTGGCCGCTGCTTTTCTCCGTCTGCCCCCCGGGTCCTCTTCCCGCGGGCGGTGTGTCCCCCGCCTCCCCTGCACCCCCATCTCCCCTCTGTTCTTTCCCTCTGCCTTCAATCCTTCCTCCTTCCCCGAGCGCTCTCTGCATTCCAAGCCCTCTTTCCCCAGCCCGCTTCTCGGCTCGCTCTGCCCTCCCATCGCTCTCTGCCTTCCCACTCTCTCCCGCCCGGCCTCCACCTCCCGGGCTGCGGACCCTCCCTTCGCAGCTCTTCCCCAATCTGTTTCTCTTCAGCCCAGCCTCGCCCCATCACGAGTTTCCTTTATCTGTCCCCAGATTCTTCGGGCCGGCCTTCCCGCCCACTGCTCCGCTCCTCTCCGGACCGGGCCGGACGCTGCAAGGCGAGGTGGGCTGCTTCTCCCCCGCAGCGAGCGCGGTGCCCCCCGGGCCCCCGAGGACAGGCGTTAACATGCTCTCCCTTAAGGTCCCAACAGCTCTCTGAGGTTGGCCTCACTATGTTCACTTTCACAGATTTTTTTTTAAATGATACGAAGAGAGGATAGATGACTTCTCCAAGGACACTTGGCCAGGACAGAACCCACGGCTCAGGCCCCAAACCCAGTGTTCTTCCCCTTCCCGGACAGCAGAATCCATCACTGGCCCAAGAGCTTGATCTCATTCTTGCCCTTGCCCTTCCTCTATGGTTTTATTTTATCTCAGACAATGTCTTCCCACCTTACTGTGTGTGCGAGCGTGTTCCCACTCCCTCTCACTTTCTTCCCTGTTCTCTCCTTTGCTGTTTCATTTCTTTTCCTGTCCCTACAGGGACCACTCACCTGACTGCTGGGGGAGGGAGGGAGGGTTGTTGGGGGTGGAGTTTTGCTTCCCTGCGCCCTTCAGGCCTTAATTCCTTCAGGTATGGGCTGTGCACTCCACCACGCAGACCCCTGGCCTCCCCCAGGTAATGGGGGAAAAGAGAACTTGTGAATTGGGCGGGTCCTAAGCCCTTTACATATATTATTTCATTTAATCTTAAAAAAATCTTTCTGAGGTAAGTACATATTACCTCCATCTTACACAGAGAGAAACTGAGGCCCAAGTCACCCTGCCCCGGAGTCTGGGCCCTTAACCCCTGGGCTGTGGCACTCTCCTCTTGATCTCAGAAGGGATGCCCCTCTGGCCAGATCCTGGTGTTGGTTTCATGAGCTTTAACTTCTGAGTCTCCTTGGTGCTTTACCATGGCCTTTTCTTCCTTCCATTCTTTGCGCTTTAAATTATTTACTAGATTAACAGTATATAAAAGGAAACGGAACTGGATGAAAAAATGGCTTCTCAGTTTTTTTGCTACCACAACGAATCAAATAGTTTTGCTTTTATGGGTTCCCTTCCATTTCCTCTTAATTGTTGTGTGCACACATCGTTTTCATATGCTATGTCGTCTTCGTAAGTTAACATTATGGCAAAGCATGTATGTTGGTCCTTTGGGGGGGGGGGGCAAACCCATTTCCTTCCATGTCTCTCTTCGGTGCCCCCTGCCGCTCCCTGCAGGTCTTCGCCACCCTGACATGGCCCACTCAGTGTCACCTCTGCAAATGCACAGACTCAAACCCCCTCATTTCTCACTTGCAGGCACAGCCTTTCCCCTTCTCCCTGCCTGTCAGCCCTGGGATGATTCATGTGTGTTGTTGGGCCTGCCCTGCGGCTCAGCTCCCTCTGTCCATCTGCCTGAGTGTCATCCCATAGAGGCCTTTTCCTGGTGCTGTTTCTCCACCTCTTCCTCCAGGGCAATGAATACTTGTGGTTTGTACTATCAGTATTTTAATTTCTATCAGTATGGAGTCTGGTGAACTGATGATTCATGGTTTCAGTCTCTCCCTCCGTCCAATAAAATGTTTCCTGCCGGCAACTGCGGGTTTCTGTATTCCCTTTCCATTTTGCCCACAGCAACTATTATCTGTTTCAAGTTATCGGTAAACAGGAAGCAAAGGGATGAGCCTATCTGCTCGGGCTGAGGGCCCCTCTGCGCACTAGATGGTGTTCTGTGTAAGAGTAAATGACACCAGGACAGGGACCACCCAGGCCTGGCTTCCCGGCTTAAGGATTCCCCTCCTTCATTGCCACCAGCCTCTGGTCTATGCAAGGAAAGTGCTGGCTGCCCTTTGCTGGGAGGGTTGCAGCACTGATTTCACAGGTGAGCAAAGAGAGGAACAGACAAACTCAGTGGAAGGGCTCAAGGTCACAAGCTGTCAGAAATCTAGCCAGGACTAGGAGACAAGTCTTTCTAACTCCTAATCCAACTCTTCTCATCTATTAAAAAAAAACAACACATTTCATTTTCAAATATAGTGACAATGATCCACGGTAATGGAGAAAGCCTTTCTCTTCCTCCATTTCCAATAGGAATGTGAACAGGCCATGCCAAGGCCTCTGCTGTGTGTGTGTGTGTGTGTGTGTGTGTGTGTGTGAGTGTGTGTGTGTGTGTGTGTGTGTGAGTGTGTGTGTGTGTGTGTGAGTGTGTGTGTGTGTGTGTGTGTGTGTGTGTGTGTGAGTGAGTGTGTGTGTGTGTTGTAAAAATGAAGATACAAAGAGCACACTACAAGTCAGAGTCTGCCTTTAGATCTCACATTTGGAGAATTTGAAATAATGCTAGAGAATTTGAGTTTTCAGTCCTAAGAGTCTCTCATAATTTCTTCAGCACATTTATCTACGAAGAACATGAAAAAAAAGGTGAGAGGTTCTTGAGCTGAAGTGAGAGGCAGTTTTAGCAGCTTAACCAGGGCATTCTTTTCCTGGTTAGATTTTTTTCCCCCCACAAAATTAGAAGGAAACAGAGAAAACTGTGCAGTCTGGTATAGCCTGCCCCCTTGTGGAGGCTCATGGGATTACCCCTGGAGAACCAAAATCATGTGAACATGGGAATATTTATAGGAGGTTGCAAGATGGGCAAGGAAAGCGACATTAACGTGATTTTAAGAAATTAGAGAGGCACATTTTAGGTGTGTGCAGAATTTGGCAACAAAACATCTATCAATGCAAGATCTGCCTGCCCAGATACATAGGACCAAATGCAAATAGAACTTCCCTGTTCCTACCTGAAATCTGTGCTGTTCTGTCCATAAATTATTATTTTATATTAACTCAAGAAGAGAAAATTCTCTTAAATAAATAAAGGAATTTATCTCTTTTATTATGTAGTTTTCATTGAAGTGTCACTTGAAAGGCAACTTTTATTATAGTGACTGAGGAGGTTTGACTTTTAGCATGGTCCCTCCTCACAGTCGAAGTACCTTTAAAGGCTCTGGAACTATATCCCAGGAAGACATTCTAGCACCTGAAATTTGCGCAAATAAGATCTTTAGTTTGAGGTACTATCTTCGTAAAATCCCAGATGAAATGAAAATGTTGTCAGCAGGATCCCCATTCAGATTTTACACCACTATGATGCTATTCTGAATAGATTGGTAAATGGATCATTTGATAGGGTTCGACAGCTGTCACCTATGTTGTCCAAGAGAAATGAGACGTAAGTCTTGTGGATCTTGATTAAAAGAAGGGTAATGACAAAACGGACTAAGGCAGTGGGTTTAAAATGTTGTTCCTGAGCATTTCAAGAGCTTCCGGCAAGAGGAGTGAGGAGGGATTCATGTTGCCCACGATTGCTCCCACCTGAGCAGCTCTGCTCTTAGGTTTTGGATATTTCCCTAAAATTGTGCCTGCAGAAAAGGTCCCTCAACAAAGAAAAAAAATGAAAGCCATTGGCTTAGAATCCTGAGCAATGGTTCTCAAAGGGGGTCCTGAGTATCAGAAAGAAAGGTGAAGGCTGTTTGCTTTGGAGAGGCAATAAGATAAAATTCTCCTTCACAACGTAGACTGGGGGCTATCAGCCCTGTGATTCCTCCTGCTTCCCCCCGTTTATATTGAGACTGATCTTTCCGTTTCCTTTGTTTGGGCGCTGCTCTTCCTTCACAGAAAGGGTTACAGACAAGTTCAATGAAATGGAATGGAGGGCTGTGCCCAATGACATAACCGCTCTGGGCCTCAGCTTCCCCACTCTGTCAGCTGAGCCTGGTGTGACCTGGAGGCCCATGTCTGCACCAGTATGAGAGCACTGAGATGGGAAGGTGATTAGATCCAGTTGTGTATATTGAAAGAAGCAGGAAGACCCCGGGGGGAGGGGGGATCAAATCCATCCAATCTCTGCTCTCCTTTGTTTGGTTACACATGGGGCACATAGCAGTCCAGCCATCACCAGTGATTCTGTAAATTCTCAAAGCAGCATCAACATCACCTGGAAATGTGTTCAAAATGCAAATTCTTAGGCCACACCCAAGACCTTGTGGGGGGCCCGGTGATCTATACTTTAACAAGCTGGGAAGGTGCGGGATTCAGATGCACGCTGAGGTTTTGAACATTGGTCCACACCATGAAATAGGGGCAAGTTACCTGCCAAGTATTTCAAGACATGTTTTGATTTTTTAAGAGAAAGCTATAAAAGAAATGCACAGTATGCAACTTTATTACCAAATTAATGATTCTCATTCCTAACGAGCAAATAATTTTCATTCCTCATGCAAACCAGGGGTGTTTAATTGCTTACCGTCATGCCAGGCCAAATGCTGCTAATCTGGTCGGATCTCTAACAATCCGTAGGGCTGTGCCTGTTTAGAACTTGAAAGGGAGGCAGAAACTGCATCAGAATGAAGTTGACTGTCAACATCTTCTTACAAACTCTAGATGTTAAATAAAATAGGGCCTTGGAGCTGAAGGTTCGGATCCCAGCTCTGTCACACTCTAGCTATACAAACTCAAAATCTTCTAACTCTAGGTTGGTCAGCTCAGATGAAAGCGAACCTATGTCCCTCTAGATCAGGGGTGGGCAAACTTTTTGACTCGAGGGCCACAATGGGTTCTTAAACTGGACCGGAGGGCCGGAACAAAAGCATGGATGGAGTGTTTGTGTGAACTAATATAAATTCAAAGTAAACATCATTACATAAAAGGGTACAGTCTTTTTTTTTTTTTTTTAGTTTTATTCATTTCAAACAGGCCGGATCCGGCCCGCGGGCTGTAGTTTGCCCACGGCTGCTCTAGATGTTTTAATGCAGGATATATACAGCACCATATGTAAATTCTTATTATATTAGTAAGCATAATGATTATCATTGGTTACTCAACCATTTGGGATTTTTAAAATATCAAATCATTCTCTGTTCATTTTAGCGGTTCTCAATCTTTATACTTTTGCCCTGGAATGACATTTAAAAACACTCATTTTAACTAACTTTCATATCCTCTGAAGAATTTCTTTTTGTTAAGTAACTTCTCTCAAAAGGCTAAATTTGTTTGTCATCGTGAGCTTTCACTGTATTTCACTGTGAATTTGTGGCAACACTTTTCTTCTGTAATGATCCGACATGTTTTATGCTTGTCCAAACAGTCTAGATTAAAAACACATTGCAGCTTGCTAATGGGTCTTGGGATACTCAAATTGAGCAAAGTGCCTTCTCAAATGAGCATATAGGTTGCTTACGAGAGTGAAGATGATTACGTTCGAAGAATGATTTGATCCGTGCCAAATCTTGCGTAGAAAATTACAATCACATAGGAAATTGTCTTTCCTGTTGAGGATCACATTTGGTTTTTAAAATTACTACCAACTTTGTAAACATTAAAATAGAGGCAATAAAGATGTGAAACTTCACACAGGGGATCTACAATATTTGGATAATTATGAGCATATGGCCACTTTACATGAGATCTCTGTTAAAAGTGTATTTACTAGGGCTCTGGGAAAACAGAGGTTCTGGAATTTAGGGCTTATTTACATGTACAGAGAATATCACATTTATTATCGATATATCACAATCTACTTTTGCTTCAGAACTCCAAATAGTATCAGCTAAGTGATCGCAGTATCTGTTGTTTATTGTTCTCTTGTCTATTTGTTAATATGCCAGGTTTTCGTGTGAAAGAAATGACAAGGAACAACAAACGACTCCATCGAAAGTGGTGAATGCTTTCTCAGTCATTTCAGAAACCATTTCATATATTTTATGGCAATATTTAAGGCATGAGACTACACTGACTAGCTTCAATATATTCTAGTCAAATAGAAATGATTACTGTAACTATTTTATTTCATGTAGTTAAAAAGTAATACTTTACTGTGCTTGTTCCTAGGAATCACTAAAAATAAAGACAAATTATTTATTGTTTTTTCACTTAGAATTAATTTAATGAACACTTAAATCTGAGAAATGGTTGAAATTTCATTTTGAAATTGATAAATACAGGACTTAAGAGTTTGGAAGTCAGTGTAAGCCCTACTTTTCCTCAAAAAGCCTTCCATCCAGGACTTTGCTTCTCAGATGCTAAGAGTTACAAGTTAGAATGACTTAGTCTTAAAAACAAAAGTAGAGACAGAAATTCCCCAGTTACAAGTTAGAATGACTTAGTCTTAAAAACAAAAGTAGAGACAGAAAGTAGAACAGTGGTTGCCAGATGCTGTGGGGAGGAGGGAATGAGGAGTTAGTGTTTAATGAACACAAAGTTTCCTTTTGGGATGATGAAAATGCTCTGGAGTTGGATGGTGGTGATGGTTGCACAGCAATGTGAATGCCACTGAACTGTGCACTTAAAAATGGCTAAAATGGTCACTTCATGTCCTGCATATTTTATCACAATGAAAAGTACAAAGATTTCACAGAGCAACTTAAGAAATGCCCATTTGTAAATTAATATGCTTCAAGACAGAACTTTCTAGACAGCTTTGTTGAAAATTTTGGCTTTTTAACCTCTTTGCACAGACTCTGTTAATAAGAATAATGACTGAGGGTAAATTTATACCGATCTACACAACTGTCAAGTGGAAAAATCCGTGTTAGCCCTTTTGGGATTAAAAAACAACCCCCCCCCCACCCCCACCCTGCTTCTTCAACTATACCATGTGAGCCGTCCTCGATTCCTTTTTGTATTTTTTTTCCTGAGATAAGATCTTTTTAGTTTTCTTTCCGTTATTCCCACTTGCCTGACTCCTTGACACTTTTGGATCACAGCCTCTCCCACTGTAAGCTCTTTCTATATGAGTCACCCCTGCCCTGTTTGGCCTAAGTGGTTTCAGTTGGGTTTTTGGATCTCATTGTCCACACTCTTGGTTATCCTCTCTTTCCATTCCCCCACCTCCTCTGTCTCCCTGCCTTTCCTTTTTCTCTTCCTCATTCCATCACTTTTTTTTTACTTCTCTCCTCTAACTAGCTAACATTTGGGACTGAAGCACATTTTAAAACGTTCCTTCCATATTGATCCTCATTTAAGCACAGATGAATTGAATCTTATGGTGTTTTTTTTCTTTTAAAACAAACCAAACCCTACCACTTGGAACTAATCTACTTTTGCTTTTATTTAAATGTGTCCCTTGATACATTTATTTTCTCACAGTGGCCCTGGAAGGGGGGCGGGGCTGTCTTCCCATAGGGCTTTTATGATTTGATACTTGTTTAAATGCAGCAGCAAATAAATGTGGATTCCTCCCCTGTACAGTGCATTTTTATGATTGGAGCCACCCCTACGATACCCTTGCTGTATTTTTTTGAAGGTTCACATGGCTGGCATGGATTGTTTGACCCTCTCTTAGAAGTTAGCTTATATTTTAGCAATGACTGGCAATGCCCAATCTCCCAACACAACAATACCTGAAATTATAGTGCTAAAGGTCTCTTCAATAGGCATTTTGGCTACTCATGGCATTCAAGGCCTGGTACAGACTAGCCTGAATATTGTCTCCATCACTCCTGAGTACACACCTGGCAGTTGTGTTGTACTTGGTGCCCGGATCCTTCTGAACCTGCCCGTGTTTTCTCACCGGGTACTGCCTGCACATGCCTGTAGGTGCCTCCGCTAGAAGGCTGGCTGGCCCACCTGTGTCCTCTCTACACCTGTTCTTATCCTCCCTACACCTGTCCTTAACAGTAGTGGTGCATTTTAGTGCTGGCTCTACCATAGCTCTTGATATGTCTACCATAGCTCTTGCTATGTCTTGCAAGGAGAGGGGTAGGGTATTTGTGGACATGAAGGATCATTTTTAAAACCTCATGGGTTATTTTATCAGCTTTCCCGTCTTCCATGTTCTCTGACCACCTACACCTACACACACATCCTCCTCTGCTTAGGGATTGCCTTTATAGAAGCCATCATTCGTTGGGGCCATATATCACAGAACTTTCCCGAAGAACCACAACTTGGTCAGATGGATACATTAAGGAGTATTGGGAAGAATATCTTTGCTTTGCCACAAAAAAATCCTATTATACCTACCCTTCTGCCCAAGCCCAGTGAGGGCCTCCTCACATGTATGTATCTGAGAAGGACAACCAGGTGACTTTTCCCTGCCAAAGAAGAGACACGCCTGAGTGACAGTCTTCGAGAAGAAATAAGCAAGTTCCCTTGCTGTCCAAGACATGGTCATAATAAAAGTTAAAAGTTAAATTCCCGCTTATCATACTGTGCTTAAAAAACACACATGTGCTTGTAAATAGATTTCCCCATTAAAGTCTTTATTGTTGTTCTTTCTGGGGGACCAACTAAAGCCCTCATTAGAGCTTTGGAGGATAAATTCTCAATAAAGTAAACTTGGATTCAAATACAAATATCAGCATGTGTGAGATATAACGCATGGGCCTAGCACTTAATAAAACTTTGTATATTTTGTAAATTTCTTCCCCAATCTATTTCTTTTGTACCAGAGCTCTGTTTTGTTTGTTTGTTTGTTTGTTTGTTTTTATTGACCAGGTGCCCTTTACCCTCTCTTGTAGACAGAACATTCTTTGGGAAATCTGTGTTTCCCCACTCCAACAAACTCTTACGCCAGCCATAAGGAGGGGCGGAGGCCCAGGTTGGGACACTCCAGTCATAGTACTCCAGCTGCCCACCCCCAACCCCTGTGATTGGTTTAGCATTGGAGAAAGACAGATGCTCAGCCAATCAGGACCCTTCACCAAGATTTTTCTAAATGGAGGTGGAGAAGATGACCCTTTTCCATTCTACTGGCTAAGAGAACTAACTCCCCTTGGAGAAAACGGGAAGTTCATAGAAAAGAATGGAGAGCATCCCAGAGAGGCTAAGGTGGGAGGAAGAGAAAGAAAGATGGCGTGGAGTCTCTAGTTCCCTCCATCTATGGTCCCTCCCTGCCCTGCTTGGCCTAAGCTGGTTTCAGTTGGGTTTCTGTCACTTGCCACCAAGAATCTAATACAGAAAAGTTGCTTCCAGTCACTGACGTCCCCACATGTAATCCTAAAGCTAGCATGGTCAGGTGCTCTTTCGATTCTGTGAGCCATGCCAATGTCATTCCAATACATCCCAACTTCAGTTGGATTGTTCAAGCTGGATTTCTGAAAATCGCATTGGACTTTTCTGGATTCAGCTCCTCTTCCCTCAGTTTCTCCACAGCTCAGTGACCTTCAGGAAGAAAATGTGTTTCTGCTCCTCCTCTGGAGACACACAGCACATTGGGTTCCCTGAAGACTGTCCAGGAGAGAAAGAGAAAAGATAGAAGAGTCTCCCAGAAGTTTCTCCTCAGGGTGAGACTTGGCTGGTTAGTGTTGAGAGCTTATGGCGACCCCATTGCTCCAGGCTATTCTGACCTGATAACAGATCCTTTGCACTTGCCCACTTTTGGAGCGCACTCCCCGCCTCCCAGTGCCTGGTACCAGAGGCCCTGTAGTGTGGAATGAATGAGTGCATGACTAGGCACGGCATTATTCTTATTTTTAATATATTTTTATTGATTTCAGAGAGGAAGGGAGAGGGAGAGAGAGATAGAAACATCCATGATGAGAATCATGGATCGGCTGCCTTGAGCCTGCAACCCGGGCATGTGCCCTGGACCAGAATGGAACCCGGGACCCTTCAGTCCTCAAGCTGATGCTCTATCCACTGAGCCAAACTGGCTAGGGCACAGCATTATTGAAGGAGAAAGGCACTTATCCCTCCACTCTGAGTTGTTCTCTTCCTACGTCCCAGGAGCACAGCTTGCATTCCAGTCCTTACCCTCTGCTTCCCTCTCAGCGTAGATTTCTCCCACAGGACAATGAACCGCAAGCTCATCTTCCTACGGGGCACCTAGGAGACACGGTGGCAAAGCCAGTGTTTAATAGGCTATCCATTGGATGGTGAATGAATGAACAGAGTCTGAATGACACGCTTTTAAAAATGTGTTTTTATCATTGTCAAAACCTTGACTGCTGCCAGTCTGTCCAAGTGAATGCCCTGCTGGCACCAGTGTTGGTGGCCCTGGGAGACTCATTTAGAAGTTCAACCTGTTCACACACAACTAAAAAGCTGTGGCCCCTGAGACCTTCTTGGGGGTTTTCATTTGCTCAAACCAGTGTTTTCTCCATGAGCCTGTTCTGGACGAGGCAGGGTTCAATGGGAGGGCCCTGCTGGCTGCTGTTTGTCTCTATGGTGGGCTACCTGCAAAGGGAGCTTTGGGGGTGGGGGTGGGGGCTGGTGGGAATTGTGGGTCCACAGAGCAAGGAAGAGGATCTGCCTTTTGGTTTTGAGATGAGCGCAGTGGCAGAGCCCGGGTCCGCTTCTCACTGAAATGAGGTAAGACTTCCTCGTCCTCCACAGAAGGCTCTGTGCTTCTCCCCAGAATCACTATTACCCCCTGTGCCTGGAATTACTATTCCTCGGAAACCATTTAAAACAAACGTATGCGTATTTACTCCTCGTGAAATCGGGCAGAAATCAAGGAGTGTGTGCCCCGTTTTACTGGCCCTAAAATGGATCTAAAATGCTGGGTTTTATTCCACCCTGTCACATCTGTCAGGTTCTTGTTGAGGAGAGCGGCGGCAGGAATCCAGAAACCAGGCTGAGGGCGCCCCCTGGTGTCCAGACGGCAGCGTGCGCCTCTCTAATGCCGCCAGGTGAGGGCCGGTCTCCACGCGCCTGGATTGTCCTGTGTGGTTTTTTCTGCGATGGGGCAGGTCCTACACTGGAAACTCTGCCTCGTAGACCAAAACCATCCGGGGACTTTCTGGCTGTGAGGAGCCTGGTCAAACCAGCCTTCTTTTATGATAAAAAATATAGAACGTCACTGTCCTCCACCCGCTGGGGAGAGCGGTGCCCCAGAGTCCCCCACTCAGCGTCTCCCCCACATCCCAGCTGAGACGAAGCTGGGGGCCTGTGTGGCTGTGTGTGTGTCACTCTGTTGGATGTGAGATGGTTAAACACGCCAGCAGGGGCCTGGGGCGGGGACGGGCTGCGGAGAGAAGAACGCACAGGAGAGGTGCCCCCCTGCGCTCGGCCTCAGGGTCTGCGCCCTGGACAACCCACCGCACAGCCCGACCTCCTCCCGCCCGGAGGGGAGTCTCCCCATCAAAGGTCACTGTGAACCGACGTCCGCCCGCTCCTCAGGGTGCCCCGGGAGCAGCCAGAGCAGCACAAGATCCTGGCCCAGAGGGAGCGGGTGCTCCCAGAGGACTTGCTCCTGGCAGGGTGGGCCCTGGCACCTGGGAAATGGGCATCTCCATGGCAACCAGGGGGAGCGCTCGGCAGAGGATGAATCCTGCCCCCTCCAGTGTCCTGACAACCAGTGGTCCAAGGACGGAGGAAGGAGCCACAGTAACTAACTTACTGCAATGCATGTCTCACCGACTGAGAACAGAGCCCAGAGCAGATTTTTACTTAGAAAAATAAGGAAATGAAAGGTGTGTTTTTTTCACCTTGTGGGCTGGAGCCATTCACATCTGTTATATATATTTATCAGTTTCCCACTTCATTTCATAAAGGCTTTGAGGTATCTACATTTAAAAAGTACCCAGATAAAAAAATAAACGAATGAACAGTTCATTGGGGGCGGGGCTTGTCTGATACCTGAACCTTTTCCCATTTTGGAGGAATTCCTTGCTGTTGGAGTCCGGGTGGGGGGCAGGGCCATCTCCTCCCCATGCCTCCAGGCACCCGTCTCCTCCCGATGCCTGCAAGGCCAGGTACCCCGTCTGCACTGCTCCCCTGGCCGTGAGGGGGTGATGAGAGAGAATGAAGCTCCCACTCAGGCCTGCATCCGCAGGGACCCCGGCCCGTGACCAGCGGCTGTGGCAACAGTGTCCTCTCCAGGTTGCCCCTGTGATACCATTAGGTTGTGGTTTTGACTCTCCAGCCTCCATTGGACCTGCCCTTTCCTAAATAAAAAATAAAACTTTTTAAAATATAGATTTTTTTTTTTTTATTTCAGAGAAGAAGGGAGAGGAAGAGAGAGATAGAAACATCAATGATCAGAGAGAATCACTCATCGGCTGCCTCCTACACTCCCCCTACTGGGGATCCAGCCCACAACCTAGGCGTGTGCCCTGACTGGGAATCGAACCGTGACCTCGTGGTTCATAGGTCGCTGCTCAGCCACTGAGCTACGCCCGTCGGGCCCTAAATGAAACTTGTTATTTTCCTAGAGATTAATCATAGTGAAGATGAATAAAGAGTATGAAGCGTAGACTAAGGGAAAAGCCAAATGCGAGTATGCAGACCATTGTAGCTGCTCTCTATGAGTTAAATATTTGGTCCTGGCTTCCTGGCAGCTTAGGTGAAAGGGGGAACGTGGTCTGTTACTCAAACTCTTGAAGATAATAACACATACTATCTTCCTCAAAGGAAGTAGAAGTTTTTCTAAGAGTTGGACTTTAAAAGGAATTTCTTATCATGGGGTTTCTCATAGTGGCTCCTGGAACTGTACTGTACCATCTCTCTAATATTATTCAAACAACAAACGCTTCTTTTTTTTATTTTTGTTTTTTTTAAATAAATCTTTATTGTTCAGATTATTACAGTTGTTCCCCTTTTTTCTCCCCCATAGCTCCCCTCCACCCAGTTCCCACCCCACCCTCT